TCCCATTTCCCCACTTACCTTAGGGCTTTGATCTCCTTCCCCCGGTGAACCTAGTTTAAAGCCCTCCTCACTAGGTTAGCCAGCCTGCTGGTGAAGATGCTCTTCCCTCTCTTCGTTAGATGGAGCCCGTCTCTGCCTAGCACTCCTCCTTCTTGGACATCCCATGCAAGGTGTACTGGAAAGGCAAAAAACAAAGAGAGCCAGTCCAGTGAGAACAAGTGGCCTTTTGCTATGTGAGCTTCTCTCTACTCCTCCATGAAGTGGCATTCCTGTCCTTCAATGACAGAATGGCTGAGAGAAGCAAGCTAGGGTGTGGACTTCCTGCCATCCTCCTGAAATTCCTGATATTGCATCCCCATCTGTACAGTCAGCCATTATCTTAATGTAGCCAACAGAACTGATATAATTATCTACCAGAGCTGCTTCTGGCAGACCAAAAATCTTTCTGGCAACTACGGCAGCAGAATGCAAGAGTCCCATGGTCCCAAGGCAGATTGTCTGGGACAAGACATCAGTATTGTTCATGGTCCGCTACTCCACTCTCCCTGCCCCTTGTGTAATAAGAATAGGGTGAGGATGATATGCTCCTCTTTGATGCATGTCCCCCTAGGTTGACAGCCAGCATCTCCTTTCTCCTGGTCCCTGTTCACTGAGCTTCTAAAAGTGGCATAGTGGCATAGTTGGGTCTTACTCCTCCTGGCCCCATGACAGGAGTGTGTGGCTTACTTCAGGGTGATGACAACCATGTGGTTGAGGTATTCTGCCACTTTAGCCCCAAAAGCTGCCAAATATGCTTCCCATTAAGCTATGTTGGTCACAGGCTCCAGACATCATTTTTCTCTATTGCCTATTACATCAAAGGGAACAGATGTGGCTTTTGTGGGATAGTCGAATGTTCCCTACAAAGCGAGGAACTATTGGTGATTAGAACCCAACTCTATTGTATGGCAGCTTTAGGTACAGTAGAGGGGGAGAGCAATGTGAAAAGAATATACTGGGTAATACTGATGGCATATAATATTAAAATATACTGTATTACTGAAGTGAACTCAATGGCTGAATAGAATGTGGGACAACTCAACAGGGGTGTGCTCTGGTGACTTCTGATTTGCGTTTTAGCTTGTGACTTATACTACTTAAGTTGGTAATTTTGAAAAAGATGATCTGGCTGAGAGGCGATATCATCACGTAAGAGGAGACTGCTCTTGTCTTCAGTTACTTTTTTAATTCATGGACACCTCTGAAAGTGTTGACACAATCCTGCTTATTCTATAGGGGACCATGTAAATACATCTCAGCATATTTGCATATTCTTCAAGGTGTGTGTAAATACCTAGAGGTCTGCACAGGCACTTTCAAATCACATGTATGCACCTCAATGAATTAACATTAATTCTGTGATGCAATCAGTACTGAAGCTTAGAAGTCAAACCTGAGATATATGGGAAGAAATTAATGAGGATTTTTTTTAATTCCGAGTATGTGAATTCTCTTAAACTACAACAATTGCATGTGCACTTAAATTATCTACCAGAGGATTCTATAAAAAAGGATTAATATAAAATTTAATTAGGGACTTTCTTTAAAATGCAATTTGATTTTGCATAAAACGCATAGTTCAGCGTTTTATGAAAACCTGACAGTATTTCATTTTTAGATATATTTTTCCCTATTGCATGATCATAAATTGTGTTCCTAGTGGGAAATCAGTACTATATCATATAAGGCTATTGACCTCCAGTGTCAAATTCATGGACTCTAATAACCTAGGTAGGTTTTAGCTGTCATATTTTTGCATGGATGAATTATCAAAGTACATCCAACATTTGCACAAATTTGGCCTTTCCGTCAACATACAGCAGAAATGTCATTTTGTTCCACCTATTTTTTTGTTCCTAATAGGCAGCTGAAAAGTGAAGGGTTGCATGCTCAAAGAGAGATTTCCCACCTGACTCCTCTGAAATGAAACTGTCAGTTGGGAGTGGGGTCCCCTGGGAGTTCCCAGCCCATCATCTCATGGTGACTGAGGTTAGAACTCAGCCCTCCTTTAGCAACATCCCCCAACCAACACACACCCTTAAAACTGACCTAAAAATATTTTTTAAATTGAGATTATGACCTCATTGGCATATTTATGTTTGTATAAAGAATCCCTGAAGGGTTTTGAAAAATCAGGTTTTTTTAAACTTTTGCTATATCCGGAGTGGCATGTCTGTTTTTCCCAGGTTCCAGGTGTTCATGAGGCATTGGAGTTAAATATGTTTTCAAATAGTTTTGAACTAAAAGTTCTCCCTCCCCTATTCAACCTAGTTAGGTCAACTCTCCATTCGCTATAAAACAAGCAGAACCCCATCCCCCAATTTTTGGACAAAAACTTCCCAGGCCATTTTTATATATGGCAAAGAAACAAAACTGGACACAAACCCAACTTGCAGATGTGAATTTTTTTTTCTTTAGTACTATGGAGTGAATGTTACCTATGCAGATTTATGGAAACTCCTCTAGATAGTAGAGATAGCATCTTGCTGTTGCCTATAACTGGAAATATGTTGACTCTGTTTTCTATTTTTAAGGTTAATAGACAACCTTTGGAAAGTTTCAAGTCAGGAAACAAAGAGGCTGGTGTTGTGTTTGGGTCTATACCTATATACAAGGTAAGTTCAAGTTAATCTGCTTTTATACCTCAAGCATTGTCATTGATATAGCAAAAACTGTTAAAATTAGATAACTTTTAAAATCACAAACCCTGTGAGTTGCTATTATAAACTGTCTACTTGTCAATTTAATTTCTTTTGACTTGGCTTGAATTACTCCCTATCCATCTCCATTCAACGGTAGTTAGCATGATAACAGGGCGCCTCCTGTGAAGACTGATCAAAAGACCATTCTGCAAGGTGAGTCTTTCAGCCTTGTACTTCTCCTATCAAAGCTCATGACCTTAAATTTATGCTCAATCTCTTTTCTTTCAACCAGCCCAAAGACCATTGCTTCTATTTGCACAAGGCGTTGGGCAATATATGCTAATACCATGTCCCACTGAGCATACAAATGCTAAACCTGCATGGGACTTTTCATTCCTGTTTAATTGGCTTACTAATTTATATAAACAACTGCATTAGCGATACAGGCCCAAATGCTGCTCAGTCATATAGCTATACATCTGCCCCCAACTGATGGGAGAGCATTCAGAGAGCTGGTGAAGAGCATCCAGCCGATCTGGCACACATGATGATCTTCCACTTCCAGCTAATGTGCTTTGGAAATTTGCACCCTGCTTTCTCACAGAAAGAAAAAATAATACAAGGGGGGACTGATTCTGAACTCCCCTTTCAATGAATTGGGAGAAATTGAGCTGAAGTCAAGAGATATCCATTGGATTTTTATGAGAGAGTGAGATCAGAATCAGATGTTATTGTTTAGTGAGCTAAGAGTCTCAGAAACACTTTGTTATACAGGATGTTAGTTATCAATACAAACTGGTGTGCTCATAGGAGGCTATTCTGTAACTTCGCTGCTCTAAATTACTTTTCAAAGGTTCTCAGTCTAACAAGTCACAAACCTCTCCACCAGTTGGGGTCAAAAGAGAAGCAAGACTCAGTTGACACTATCTTCAAAAGGATTAAGCATCATACACTTTATGAGGTAAGTGGATTAGCAATTTCTTCACTTTAGCCCCAGAATGTTTGCCCATCCTTATTGTTATATAAATTTCTTTCCTCTTTCCATTCAATTGATGTGAATACACAGAAATTCATTTTTTGCTACCTGAAACTAGAAATAGGTCTGATCATGACCGATACAAGCTTGTCCAAAGTGTAAGGGCCTTTAGATCTGGGGATTTGTGTTAGGCACATCTATCCCAGAAATATTTAATGTACATCCCATCATCTCCAGTTGTGTTCCATAATGCCATGTCAGGCTGCACCCTTTCTGATATATCAGCTCCATACGAAACAATCAGATTACCTAACAAAGAAAAAAATGAATGGGTGGGAGTAGAAGAGAGAAAAGCTTTAAGAGTTAAAGACAAATCATTTACCATACATACTGCAAATCAAACCCAATAAAGCCAATCAGTTGTTGCTGGAGGTACCATGTATACCTGCTGGACAACAGGTATTTCTCCTTCTGTTTAGAGATAAGCCCAAACCAGAACCCTAAAATCTGCACTCTCAAGTGGTTCATATTCAAACACATGAATCCAAATCAATCCTTATGGTTTCAGATCTGCATTGGAACCCAAACTGATCAAGAAGGGCAAGTTTTCATTTGCTGTTTGAAATGCTACTCAAAGTGGCAGAAAACGTGGGATCACCCAATCTCTCTTATATATTTATATTTAGAGAGAAGTAAACATAAACATCACTAAACAGTTTATCTAAAAACTACTTTTTTCTCAGAAATGGTCCATACCTGGAACAACTTCTTCTTCCCCCTCCTCCATGAGCTAACATACTAAAAATGGAAGTGTAGGCACATCAGGGAGAGCAGTTGGAGGGGTTAGATACCCCGAGTACATATCTAGCGTTTCAGATGGGATTGTACTTGGGTGGCTAGCCTATCCTGCTGCTTGTGCCGCTGTAGTTACACTTCTATTTTTAACACATTCGTTCGATCAGAGGTAGCACTGGCATGTCTACCCGAACTGGCAATTACACCACCAGCTCAGTGTAAACATACCCTATGATTGGCAGGATTTGGCCTTTCCCACTCCGACTCCTAAAGCCCCCTCTTCCTAGAGGAGACCACTTCTGAAATTGCAGGAGTTTAATCCCCATGAGCTTGTGGCCCTTTCTAGGTTTCCACTTTGAATGAGGTAATCGGGGGTCCAGTCTTTTAACACTCAGCACCTGGAACTCCTGTTGAAATCACTGGAAGTTCTGCATGTGAGGGCTTGCAAGAATTGGCACATAATGTATTTATCAGTGAGCTTTTGGGACCAATTCTAATGACTTTCAAGTCAATGGCAATACTTTCCTTAAGATAAACGGGAGCAGGATCCAGGCATCTTTATCACAGCCATGATAATAGTCATGCGTTAAACTTTGGACTGAACTTGTTGATGACACCCAGGAGATGTCATGAAGATGTAGTTTATAATGTGTAAATAGCACAGAAAATTAAGCTGAACAGGTATTGAAATAAACACCATGATATGTCCTAGAAAAGACAATGGAACAAATATTCAAAAGGAAATCTAACTCTTATTTTGTTTCCTCCTAAGTCAGAGTGGAGAACTTCCAAAAAGTCGTTTTAAAATTTATCTTTTCTACCATGTCTGATTAATATTTTCTCAGTAAGAAATATTTCCAGTAGAGTATAGAACTGTATAGAGCTCACTCAGCACATACACTAGCAAGGGTTAACATGTATAGCTAAATGCTCTGCTTTGTCTTACAGCCATCACGTTTATCCAAGAGAAGAAGTGCAAAAAATAGCCAGGCTCCAGCGGCAAATGTGGTCCAGTCCTTTGTCCCCTCCATTTTCTTCCAAGTTGCAAAACCCTAAAAACTGCCACTGCCGTTATCAAAAATAAACCTTGATATCCCTGCAAATCATATGTAGTCAAAGTAATCATTACTGGTAAGCAGACGAGCACAGTCTCTGTGTCCACGTTATTTATTTCCAGTGCTCCAGCAATATTGTGTTAATTTATGTATCAGTAGCTCCTGTTGTCACATCATGCCCCATATTCTTCATAGAAATATGTTTATTATATGAATTTGGCATAACTAAAATGTATTTTATGCAAAATGGGTCATGTAAGTTGTCATTGGAAAGGTTATGATTTACTGAATATGATTATCCTATTTGTATGCATGAATCATTTCTGTATCTGAAGTTAGGAATATTAGCTCTGTATCAATTGCAAAAGTGTTTGCATCTGGGGGACGCCCACCAGACAGTAGGCAATCAGCCTGAATGGGCCATTGGGAGAACAATAAGATTTTTGAAGATACTAATCTCCCGCCCTCCTGCGAAGTTACCTGGGTTGCTGTTTTGACTTTGCAGGGTCATGTGATCATGTCCTCTGATACTGGATTCCATCTTGGACTGCTGGTATTTTCCACTAGGACAGGGTGGGGGTTGAACTGGGAAACAAAAGATTCCCGCCATATGTTAATCCTATTTAAGGCTGGGAAGTGAGTCAATCAAGGTTGCTGGTTCTTCACTGAATCCCCACCCAGGATGAGTGCTGGAAACACCTAAGATTGACCTAGGGAGAAGGAATGGGACCTAAGCTAAGAAAGAGTCTGGCCTGTGAAAAGGAATACCTGAAACTCTAAGCTGCAAGCAGTGCAGTTTACCTTCAAGAAACTCCGCAACCTGCATAAAACAACATTTAGGGTGAGAAATTACTATTTGTAGCCAATGTATTAAGCCTAGTTGGCGTGTTTTGTTTTATTTGCTCAGTAATCTGCTTTACTCTGTTTACTATCCCTTATCACATAAAATTTACCTTTTGTAGTTAATAAACTTTTTTTTTATTCTAAAACCCCATTGGTGTAGTTCATAACTGGGGGTGCAAAAAGCTGTGCATATCTTCCACAGTGAGGGAGGAGGGCAAATTTCATAAGCTCACACTGTATAGACCCCTCTGCAGCGCAAGACAATATAATTTTGGGTTTACACTCCAGAGGGTGTGTGCACCAGAATGCTGGGCAATTTCCCAAGCTGTCTTCCCACACAGAGCTGATGGGAGGGAGGGAGAGAGAGCAAGCAGGACCGGGTGAGGGAGCCCAGGATAGTGGACCAGGCAGGCTCAGTGGGACCCCAAATACATCAGGTGGCATCCCGGAAGGGGGGTCCAACCCGTCATACCTGTATCCTGGAAATCCACTGTTTTCCAGTCTCAGATAATGTGGGGCAACACTCTTAGCGTAAGCAATGCTAACACCCTGCCACTGCATGGAGTCACCAAAAATAGTTTGTTGTTCTCATATCAGTCATGCGTAAACAGGTGATCTGATTTTTTTTTTAGTACATGTGGGTTTGAGTGTTCTGCATTATTATTATATAGTTGTATTATGATAATGGATGTGTGTATCATCTGAGGCTTTTTTAACCATTTACTCCTAGGAAAACTTGGTTTATTTTAAGACCATAATCCTGTGATGCATACTGAGGGAAAACTCCCTTTAACTTCAGCAGTTCCCCCAAGTTAGGTGTGCAGGGGTGAGAACCAAAAGTTGAATAAAATTAGATATTACAGTAGAATCTCACTAACTTTCATTCTTCTCTTTTGCAAATCCAGTAACTGACATACATCTATCTCTCGGGCCTCTGTTCTTCAGCAAAGATTTAATGGAAACATACGATCTAAATGCAGCACTTACTAAAACTTCCTTTCCAAAATATCATATACTGCAGTACATTACTAGAAGTCCATCAGCTATTGTCATGGTGGTTTGCATGCTAATTTGCAACATGCTTCTGCAGTTAGTGTGGATTGCTGAGGTTCTTGTACATAAGTTAAGTATAAAAGAAAATAAAACTGAGGAAAGACATGACAGCTACCACAACAAATTTCATTCATGATTGGGGTAGCAATCCTATAATTTGTCATGCAATTAAGCTGTGCGAAGAATTCAATTTTAGGCTTAACCAACTGTGTCCCTGTGCCCATAACACAGTAGGGACTTTCCAAACATTTTTCCTCCTCCCTGACTTAATAATGGGCTTCACTCCTGGGCACTGGTGTGCCAATGCTATCCTTCTCACGTTCATTCACCTTACTTCAATTCCTAACGGAGCTTGGGCCAACCTTGAACTGCTGCAGTGTGTGTGTCCGTGTAGTGTCCTGTATTTCAGAAGTTCTCTACTCTGGGAGTGCATATCTAAGGGGCTGACCATCCTGCAGACACTGACATACCCACAAGATGAGCTGGCTACTTCATGATGTTGTTGGGGAAGAACAGAGTGGGTATGGAGGGGAACACAGAGCAGGGAATGAAAGAGGAGGGGGATGAAAGGAGAAAGGAAAACAATTATTTTAAAAGATTAACTTGAGGGCAAACAGGGACAAGAGTCCCAAGGAAGATAATGAATGGAGGAAGGGGAAGAGAAGAGAGGACAACGGGGGAGGTTTTTCATTGTTTCATAGAAAGTTTAATGCTAAGGAGTACCAATAAAGAGTCCTGCACTTAGGACAGAAGAATCCCATGCACTGTTACAGACTAGGGACCAAATGGCTAGGAAGCAGTTCTGCAGAAAAGGACCTAGGGGTTACAGTGGACAAGAAGCTGGATATGAGTCGACAGTGTGCCCTTGTTGCCAAGAAGGCTAACGGCATTTTGGGCTGTATAAGTAGGGGCATTGCCAGCAGATCGAGGGACGTGATCATTCCCCTCTATTTGACATTGGTGAGGCCTCATCTGGAGTACTGTGTCCAGTTTTGGGCCCCACACTACATGAAGGATGTGGAAAAATTGGAAAAAGAGTCCAGCGGAGGGCAACAAAAATGATTAGGGGGCTGGAGCACATGACTTATGAGGAGAGGCTGAGGGAACTGGGATTGTTTAGTCTGCAGAAGAGAAGAATGAGGGAGGATTTGATAGCTGCTTTCAACTACCTGAAAGGGGGTTCCAAAGAGGGTGGATCTAGACTGTTCTCAGTGATACCTGATGACAGAACAAGGAGTAATGGTCTCAAGTTGCAGTGCGGGAGGTTTAGGTTGGATATTAGGAAAAACTTTTTCACTAGGAGGGTGGTGAAGCATTGGAATGGGTTAACTAGGGAGGTGGTGGAATCTCCTTCCTTAGAGGTTTTTAAGGTCAGGCTTGACAAAGCGCTGGCTGGGATGATTTAGTTGGGAATTGGTCCTGCTTTGAGCAGGGGGTTGGACTAGATGACCTCCTGAGGTCCCTTCCAACCCTGATATTCTATGATTCTATGAATAAACGGGTGCTGGAACAATTTTTATAGTGGGGGTGCTGATGATGGAAATCATGGAAATGTATGTGGTGGTGGTGTTACTACTTCAAGCCAAGAGGTGTGACAGCACCACTGACAATAAAGCAAGTTTGATTTGCATATATTTTATATATTGTTACCAGACTACAGTATACTGTATCTGTTATGCTTTGTGCGACCAAGAAAGCAATTGAGCTCAGAAAGGTAGACAAAGAGATGGTCACAACAAGAATGGTTAAGAGCTATGAAACTCTTAAACCAACTGAGACAAGGTCTGGATTAGCTGTTCACATTTGGAATAAGACTGTCCATGTAGACTGGCAACTAGGGAATGCCTGTACCACATTAGTGTGTCTTTATATGTGCCATCCATTTGCATAGTTGGATACTGGCTAATGTTGGTTCTGTGCTTGTTGATCAGGTCTAGTCCTCAAGGCTGGGAGAGTCTAAGTGAACCACATTGTATAACATCTGTTATCATCCTTATAGTTTAAGAATGAAATACAAGAATGCAATCTACCAAGTAATTTGTTTACTGTGGCTTGGTAAAGACAGGACAGGCTACCATCCCACTGGGCTTTCCAAACCCTGGCTTCATCAAGGAACTTGAGTTAGGGAGGTAGCACACAGATTTTTTTCAGATCTACAGGAATCAAACTAGAAAAGCCAAAGGAGGAAGCCAGAGACCGCAGGAAAATCGGGATGATGGTTGCTTATTATCCTGTTGGTAGAAGCAAAGAAGAGGAACCCATCGTCTGCACTGTCTCAACTAAGACACAGAAAGCAAAGTAGATATGCGGTGTCAATAATGCGCCTTTACTGAATGATTTTTGTGATCAGTCATACATAATTCTATAATTCCTAATTTGCCACCAAATTCAGCACTGGTCTGCTGCAATACGTAGGATGCCTTGTGGAATAATGGGGCCTTGCCTACATCTGTATCTCATCAGAATTCAAGGTATAACATATCCAGACTGACTGCCTTTTCGGATTGAATTATATTCCTAACGGCTTTCCTCTGGTTTGATTTGCTTTTCAAGGTAGAGTGCCTCCACCTATATGAGTCAAATTCTATTAAACTCTTTCTTTGTTATATATTCTTCCTTGGCAGCTGAGTTTAAACATATCAAATATTGTCTCTGCATAGATCAATCTTCTTTCACTGACGTTCCCAACCTGACCAATTCCAACATTGTATGTGCTTGTCCCCACAAAGGTAGGGGACTAGGCATTTTATGAAATCTAAACAAAGAAATGCACTTTGTCAGTGGTTCTTCATAGCAGTCAGTGTGATATGTCAAATCACAAATAGTTTCGTCCTGATTCTGTATTCTTGTCCAGAGAGTCTCTCTCTCATGCTCTCATATACAGTGTATCTTTGAAAATGAAATTTTTTTTAGAGAACTGCCTTAAAAGGGGGCTGAAACGTTACTCATATATTCTGCCACCTAAGGAAATAGCCTGAGTGTGTGCTTCTACTGACCGGGGATATGGAGCTGGTATGGTCCTCTGCTTATTACTTCTTTGGCTTCTTTGCCTCTCTTCCAGTGGCTGCGTTCCCCAAAGCCTGCCTCCATCAGCTGTTGCATCTGGGCAACCTGAGAGCAGTAATCTCAGAAGAGCAAGGCTACACATCTTCTGCTACTGAAAGCAAGGCCCAGTGCTGCTCTGTAGTGTTAGTGCTGGAAGATCAGGAATTGGGGCTGATGCTGCAGGGTCAGGGCTGGCGCTTCTATTTAGGCGACCTAGGCGGTCGCCTAGGGCACCAGGATTTGGGGGGGGTGGCAATTCGGCGGCGGGGGGGGGGGAATCCTTCCGCGCTCCGGGTCTTCAGCGGCAATTCTGCGGCGGGTCCTTCACTTGCTCCGGGACCCGCTGCCAAAGTGCCCCGAAGACCGGAAGCGCAGAAGGACCCCCCGCCACAGAATTGACGACGATGACTGGGAGCGCGGAAGGACCCCCGCCTAGAGCACCAAAAACCCTGGCGCCGCTCCTGTGCACATCATGGGGGTATTGGCAGAGAGAGATTGGGGATAGAAAGTTATCTGTCTCTGTCCTTACAAAGGATGCTGTACAACCTGCAATCATCCTTTGAGATGCTGCCATTGATCATAAGATATGGTGCCTCCCTCACACTGTCACATTGCTCTTATGCTGCTCATGAAAACAAGCATGAGCAAATGCTGGGTTAGTGGGACAGTGCTAGGTACTCCTGCGTCTATTCAGAGTGACTATGGCAGAGGTGGGCACTCTACGGCCCGCAGGCCACATCCAGCCCACTGGACCCTCCTGCCCGGCCTCTGAGCTCCTGCCCCAGAAGCTGCGCGGTGGCATGGCTGGCTCCAGCAGGGCGGTGCAGCTGTAGCGCCACCAGTGCTCCAGGCAGCGTGGTAAGGGGGCAGGGAGGTTGGAGAGAGGGCAGGGGAGTTTGGGGTAGTGGTTGGGGGAGAGGGTGTGGGTAGGGGTCGGGGCAGTCACAGGGCAGGGAACAGGGGAGTTGAATGGGGGCAGGGGTCCTGGGGGGGCAGTAAGGAA